TATACAATGCCCGGAAGTCTGTGTGTTTCCAACATAGAAAGTGTGTGTGTGTGTTTCGAACAAAGCAATGGAGCTAGGACTAATTAAAATTAGCTAAAAAATGGGCCAACATAAAAAGTAACAACTTATAACCACTTTGAAATAAGTTACTTGAATGGTCATATTTGTTTTTCTTTTCTTCTAAAGCATTGCACCAAGGCATAGCTAAATTCTCTATCTACTATAATAAATGAAGGTTTTTTTGCCACATATCCTGTTCTCATTCATTTGGACACATGGTATTTTCTAGATTTTTTAAATTTTCTATTTTCCACTTGTCATTTTATTATATTTTTCATTTTATTAAATTAAAATTCCATATTTAATGTGTAAGGTAATATATATATATATATATATATATATATATATATATATATATATATATATATATATATATATATATATGTAAACTATTTATTAAAAATAATTTATATATGTAATGTATTCAATACATTAAAGTCTCATTAATTTTAATATTTAAAATTTTTCTTATTTTTCTTATAAATTCAAACTTTTCAAATTGTTAAAATTTTATATTTGTTTTTTTTTAATTCAAAAATATCGATTTTGATGAAGTTTTTGCACCAGTAGCATGACTTGACACCGTAATGCTCATTCTTGCCTTAGTACCTCAACATGGGTGGGCTGTCCACCATCTTGATGTCAAGTCAGCTTTTCTCAATGGTAATCTCAAGGAGGAGGTTTATGTCACCCAACCAGAAGGATATGTTGATAAAGCAAACAGTTACAAGGTGTTCAAGCTTTGTAAAGCTCTTTATGGTCTACGACAAACTCCTCGAGCTTGGAACATTTGTTTGGATAAAAGCTTAAAAAGGCTTGGTTTTACAAAAGGTTCACAAGACCCAGCTATTTACAAAAGGAACTCAAAAGACAAAATTCTTATTGTTGGTGTCTATGTTGATGACTTCATCATTACCGGGTCGAACACTAATGATGTTGTCGAATTCAAAGAACAAATGAAGAAAGAATTCGAAATGAGTGACTTGGGATTACTTTCTTACTACCTTGAAATTGAAGTTTCTCAAAAGAAGTGCGGAATATCTTTGCGACAAACGACTTATGCAAAGAAATTTTTAGAGCAATTTGGGTTGCAAGATTACAATTCAATAACGTCACCAATGGAACCTATGTTGAAGGTCAAGAAGGATGAAGATGGTGAAAAAGTTGATCCAACTGAATATAGGCGAGTGGTGGGTTGTTTAAGGTACTTGACTCACACCCGACCAGACTTGTCCTTTTCAGTTGGAATTGCAAGTCGTTTCATGGAGGAACCGACTACTTTGCATTTCCAAGTTGTGAAACACATCTTACGATATGTGAAATGAATCGTTGATTATGGACTCAACTATGAAGGAGGTCGTAAAATTGAAGATTTGGTTGGTTTTACCGATAGTTATCTTGGAGGTGACCCTGTTGATAGCAAGAGCACAAGTGGAATGATTTTCTATCTAGGAAGGAATGCGATAACTTAGTAATCCTAAAAGCAAAAGATTGTTGCTTTGTCCACATGTGAAGCCGAGTTCATGGAAGCTACAACAGCAACACAACAAGCCATTTGGCTTGCTAATCTCGTGAAGGAGCTCACGGGTCATCATATCATGTCAATAACAAGTCAACAATCGCATTGATAAAAATCTCATGTTTCATGGTCGAAGCAAACACATTGACATTCATTATGAGTTCATACGAGAATGTGTTGAACGTGGGCAAATTATAGTGGAATATGTCAACTTGAAGGATCAATGGGCAGACATCTTTAAAAAGGATTTAGCATACATGAAACATAGTGAAATGCAAAACATGGTCGGCGTAACGAATCTCGAGCCAAGTTTGGTTTAAGGGGGAGAATGTGAGTGTAAACCTGACTTATGTGACTTGGGTGTGAACCTGCGATGAGTAGCTGCATCACCCTCCTTTGTTGACAATAACAACTAGAAATGGTAGCTTCTTTATTTCATACGATAAACACAATAAATTGCCACAGTACTTATAGTGGCTAACTTTAGTATAAATAGATGTTGTAATCTTAGTTGTAAGGTACCACCTAAAACAAAGAATGATAGTGTAAGTATTTGTAATAGAGGGTTGTTTTTATTTTCTTGTAATTGAGCTAGTAAGCTCCTCATTTGTTCTAGTTTTGAATAAAAGTGTGTTTCAACCCCATCAATTACACCATGGTAATTTGAAGCAGAATCAGAAGTGGAAAATAATTACAAAATTCCATGGACTTACATGACGTATGAAAGTATTTGGAGAAGAAAGGTCGTATTCTTTAAAGGCAAAATCTAAAACTTGATGCAATGGTTGTGGAATAACTTGTATGTAACAATGAACATGTATTTTGGCTGATGATATAGATACTATATTATTGAATCGCATTTAAATTTCAAATATCACCAAGTAATACAATAATAGAACCCAATATAAATGCCTTGTAATTCGAAAATACAAGCCAAACATACAACAGGTAAATGCTTGATTTCACGGAATTAACTTTGAAATTATTCAAATCACACCATGTAATCCGAAAATTATGTGAGTGATTTCGGTGTACAACATGAGCAAGAAAAACATAAACAAAGATTAATGTATAGTACCTAGAAAGTGTTGGTAGAAATAAGATTTTTAATGGAAGTAGGATGATATTTAAGTAATATACATACAAAAAAAACTATGCAACACATATAAAATAACCATATATCCCCTAAAGATTTACAATTCTCATTGGCATTATATGCAGGCCCGTCCCAGAGGATGGATGATAGACGCGACCATCCAGGGCCTATCTTATAAAGGGGCTCAATTTTTTTAATGGAAATTGTTATATTTAGAAGATAGTACAAGTAATTTTATTTCAATTATTGAGCTATTATAAAAAACTTGATAACATTTTTGTATTTTAATGGCCTATTTTTTCTCTCACACTGGACCTAAAATATGTTTGAAACGGTCTTGATTATATGTTAATGTGAGAGCATTGTATGTTGATTTCAGAAATCGGGTAAAATTCAAAACCATGACAATTAAAAAAACAATACCATTTTCTTTTAAACATTTTTTAGGAAAACAAATTTCTAGACTTACTTCTACGTACGAGAGTTTATCCTCTAAATAATAATCTAGTTCATATTTCACGGCTTAAGAGGTAACGTTACTTGAAAAATTATCAAAGTCCTGAAACAAACACAATAATACATAACCACATAAGTAGAATGTCATTTCATGAAAGTAGAAGGTAGGTTGCTATTTTTTGAAACTCTTTTTTTTTACCTCGTATAAGACACGATAGATTACACCGTTTTAAAGTAACAAAAAATTAAATAACAGCAATGTTGATTACCCTGTAAACAATAATAATAACTATTATCATCAATTTAAAAAGTGTAAGATAATTAGTTGTCAAATATAAGAGAAAATATCGTCACATTAAATAACAATTTCATTCAACTGGACGTGTTTAGACATAGATTAAAAGAATCATTTAATCATAATGACTAAATTTGTAATGTACTCTCAAATCATTAAGAAGTAAACATTATGATTCTTTCAACCCACCCACTTAGTCCTCAGAAAAATCCAAGAGGTACATTTATGAATATAATAAGCCTTATTCATGCATGAATTCATGTATATATGAATGCAAATTAATTACCTCTTTTCTTTAAGCATAATGATTGGATTACTCTGAGTTATAGACTAGATTGTGTTGGATGTCCCGTATAACTTATCGATCTATTATTATTATTATTATTATTATTATTATTATTATTATTATTTTCTAATTTTGAGATTCGCTAATTTCTTCCAAGTCTAATAAGCAATCAATTGTTTCTCGATCGTTTACTAAAGAAGAATATATACTATTGTAGTTATTACTTGTGAATTAATGTTGTTGCTTGTACTTCTTATATGTTTTTTTATAACAATTATGCTATTCAATTAGCTTCTAATCCTACATTTAGAAATACATGAATCATATAAGGATTAACTATCAATGTATTCATGATGAAGACCCTCTATTTTATGCTCATCCATAGGAAATTGCAGCTTATTGATGTTATTACCAAGCCAAGTCAAGGATCAAAGATCAAAGATAGTGCATATACTTTCCAAGATGTCTCTCCAATATATTTTTTGAGTCCATCCCTAACGGGTGTATCATATATACTTTTTGTAATAGTTGTAATGATGTGGATACTTGGAGTAAATAGATAGCACTAGTTCATAGAGCTTTTGTTGATATTGGTATTGAACCACACCAACAAATATCGTATCAAAAAATACTCCTATTTAATGATGTGGTTATAAAACCGCACCAAAAAACTAATGCTAGAGCCGCACCATTAAAACATAAAAAGGAACTGCACCTAACAAAATATGTTTTTTTAGTTTTCTCCACTTTTATATGTTCCTCTACAAACATATATGCTCCTTTTGAGCTTCATATAGCTCATCTATGTGGTCATGATGTCATAATTCTATCCATGTCTTGCTTCCACAACCCACATGGTGAAATGACCAGAAAACTAAGATGTTTTTTTAAAAAATTTAACTTAATTGATTTGCAGTTAACAGGCTAGAACCAACAGGTTTATGATCCACACTATTATTCTTTGTAGAACTATGAGCCACTATTAGCATAACTTTAAAAAGTTGAGGCAACAAACACGAAATAAAATAATATCATTATATTTTCAAGGACATTAAAGCAAATTAGGAAAGAAAAAACACTTATTGATGGAATGTTCCAGAACCTCCATTGAGGAGGTGGATGAAATTCTTAGGGGAAACCCTAATGATTTCGTCCAAGGGCTTTATATAAGGCCTATGGTATATGCATCAACAATCTTGGAGTGATGCTATTGATTACTTCTTAACATATAATACAAAAAGTTCCAGTGCAAACAAAGAATGTCAGAAGAATCAAATAGTTAAGAATTATGGAGGAACGTTCAACTACGGTAATGCTTGTTTTAAGAATGTAAGCTAAAGTAACGTTTATTCAGTTATAACATATTTTTAATGTTTATTCAAGTATAAACAGAATTTGAATAGACTTGAAGCATTTCACCGCGAGCATGTGAATAAACAAGCGGAATTTGTTGATCCATTAGTTGAAGACCAATATGTAAGTTTTTATTACTTAAAAATGAAGTAGATTGTTGTTTTTTGTGTTAGTTTTAAAGTATTTTGATAATCTTTGTGAAATACATAATTCTTTAGTTGGTGAGGTTGCCTTACAGACCCAGCATGTAATCGACTCCGGTGGTGATCCAGACTCTATTGATTGGATCACAATGTTTGAGAAGCTGTTATATGCTCGAAGGGGGAATGTGAGAGGCATCCAGCCTAAACATCCTTATAAAATTGGTACAAGTGCTCCATCCCAATTCCAGTCACAGTCAATGTACCGCAACCAACACATGTACTTATTAAACTTATAAAGGATTTGGTAGCTTTGTTATATTGTTAAGAACTTGATGCATTTATAGTAATTTTTGGTGGTTTGATACTTTGCTTATTTTTTAAATGGTTAATTCATTTGTTATGAACTTGGTAGTTTGGTAAATTGTTAACGACTTAGTTGATTTTATGGTTTGATATTTTGTTAAATTATTAAGGACTTAATTAGTTTGGTGGTTTAATAGTTTGTTAAATTGTTAGTGACTTAATGTGTTTGTGACTTAATTGTTAAGTAATAATAATTTTTTTAGTTTGATATTTTAACTTATATACTTACTTTGTAGGATGTGGATGTCAATGCTTCTCTCCAAAACCCGACGTTTGTGACGACAATTGGAGATATTATTTGCTCATTTAAGAACCAAGTAAACAACCACGGAGAAGATGAAGATGCCTAGTATTTCTTGTCTTATATTATGGATGATGTTATTTTGGATTTATTAGATGATTTATGGATGATATATTTGATGTTTATTTTGGATTTGTTAGATAATTTTTTTAATATGGTATATTTGATGTTTTATGTAACGTTGTACGTATTGTTTAGGTTATTTAATGTTTTATGTAGCATGGTATGTATTGATTTTTGTATTTCTATAAAACCTGTATTTTATAATATATAAACTAATATCAAATATAAATTGTTTAAAAAAACATAAGCGATGACACCTTTAGCGACGAAATGCATTAATTGCGACAACGCCTACCCCAGGAAGTCTTGTCTAAGAAAACTCTGACCATGGGCCAGAATATCAATAGAGTCAACGGTAACAACGACATCCAAGGCTTTTTGAGAGGACACCTATGAGAGACGACATTAATTGTGACGACAACCGACCATTATCTACGAGGTAATAGCAGCGATCCTTTAGCGACGACATGTTGTCGTTAAAGCTATTAGCGACGACTTTAGGCATTTTTCGTCGCTAAAGGTAAGGTCTTTTTGTTGTGTCATTGAACCAAAAATAAACTCACCGCATTATTAAATATGTTTTGTGCTACCCTTGTATAAATAGACATGTAATAAGGAAGGAAATTGAAAATAAGTTATTGGGGAGCACTAAGGAAATTGACAATAAGTTATTGGAGAGCACTAACCTACTTACCATCTGGTCTAAGTTGGTTCCCAGGAAGATAAATATTTTTACTTGGTGATTGCGTCTTAAGAAATTGTCCACCTGAGTCAACCTTGCTCGGAGCGGGGTTAACATCCCCACCATATGTTGTTCGCTGTGCAATGCTTTTGAGGAAAACGAGGTTCATATTTTTAACAATTGCTCCACTGCAAAAGAGATACGCGGTCACCTTCTCAATTGGTGGAAAGATCTTTCCATTATGAATGATTCCTTCGACGAATTTTTGGGATTAAATTCTTCCTTTACTATGGCTGTCAGACCCCTAGAAATTCTTGAAATGACGTTAAGGGCATTCTTATGGATCATTTGGATGTATATGAATGATCTAGTTTTCAAAGGTAAGGTGAAGAGACCAAATGCTTTAGCTTATGAGATTTAGGCTTTGACATTTTTATGGTTTAAGAGTAGAGCCAAATGGGGTAGCGATTTGTTATGGGAGACATGGGCTAACAACTCCTTGTATTGTACCTTGTAACTCCAAAAATTCGTTGTTCAATATTAAAGTGTAGCTGTTAAAAAAAAAAGACATGTACAATGTAGAAATGGTTAAGAAGAAATAAATAACAAAGGCTTTTTAGTGATGTACAAAGACTAACAAAGAGAACTTCATTTTTTTCACATATTTTTAGTTTACATTTTCCGATATAAAAGAGTTAAGAAGAAATAAATAACAAATGATTGATGTGGATGTAGATTAGAGCTAATGTCTCTATCTTTTTGCTGTGATTTGATTTTGTTTGTCATATTTTCATGCTTTTCATTTTTCTTGTTTACTACGGTTAAATTGATTTGAATCTTTAAGCAACACAATATAGAGACGGCTAATCATTAATTATGAATAATATTTCTTCTTTGAATCACATTGTTAGCGTAAGTCATATATTTGTTCAGCTCTAGCTGTTTTCATTGATTCTATTTAAGAACCTTAGGGTTTCAAAATGATGTAACTACTACATATTAGGCATTAAATGATGACAATTGACAAAGTTAAGCAGATAAACTTTATCAATAACTATTATTACATATCAAAATTTTAGTTGATTGTCAATTGTAAACCACTTACAATGCAAACCACAACTAGAGTTGAACCAAGTGATAAATGTCAATGGGATAAACATCAACATTATTGATTGCAAGATACGACCTTTTGGAGGCAATTTTGTTTGCGGCTTCAGTAGTATGATATGCATCCCAAAAGAAATATTCACTCCTGTTCAAACATGGAACTTCAAATGGTAGACATGTTAGAGCACCATTGTTCAACCCTGTTCCACAACATCCACTATTCGCCACCGTAAATCCTATACCAATGTAAAGAAATAGAGTCAGTATTTGTAAAAGTGGTGGTTATGTGTAATTGTATGAATTATATATTATAACAATGAAACTGCCTGTAAAAAAAATCTGAAGGAAGAAGCAACAGAAAATATTTACCAAAAGCTGAAGGTTGTCGAATGACTTCCATACTCATATCATAGAAGTTCAAGTAGATAAATTTTGCATCTTGTAGGCTGGTATCGTTGTTGAGCTCATCAACGAGTAATTTGAGATTGTGATTGAATAGTTGAACCGCTGTATTTATGTATTCTACACATGATGCATTCGTAGAGTGACGTGACAATTCATATGGGGTGCAACCAACAGGACCCAAGCCATTTAAAGATACTTTCCTCGCTCCATAACTGTATAATGTCTACGATATAGACAATTAAAAAGCATTTAGCTTACATTTTTACAGCAAGGTTCATCATTTTTTATTTTATTTTATTTTATTTATTATTATTATTATTATTATTATTATTATTATTATTATTATTATTTTTTGGTAAAAAACGGTCCTTTTTAAAACTCTGTGCAAGACAGGGGCACTTTCAAATATGTTCATAAAAATGTGGCTGTGGCCCCCTTTGTTTAGAGTTAAGTTACATAGTTGGTCCTTTAAGTTTGATTTAATTATCATTTTCAGTTATAAATTTGTTTTTTTTTATTTTATATTTTCATTTTACACCTTAATTTATGAATAATATTTTTTTTATTATGAATATGTTATTAAATTTTATATATAAACCTTAATAATTTATATGATTTAAAATTTTCGTTTACTTTTAATCAATAAAAAATATTACATATTATTAAAATTATATATATTAAATAGTTATATAGATATTATTAGAAGTAGAGATAAAATAAATAAATATACAAGTTTTATATATAAATTGTCTAATCACTAGGAATGCATGTAAAAACAATTTCAAAATAATTGAATAATCCAAAATTGTTACTTTACACTTGGTATATTGTGGATGAATTGTCATTTCAATTCTTTGTAATCGGGTACAATTTACTTTTTGATGCTATAAACTCCAATTACTAAATTGAGTTTTTTTCATCAATCCTGCAAATTCTTCTATTCTCATAGTTGCATCATTAGTTTTCATACATTTCTCATCTTTGTATTATTTGTTCTATTTCTATCTCAAACATAAGGTATGTATTTATTTCTATATATCTTGCATATATAAATGATGTCAACATAAAATTTAAGATATTAATTTATGTCATTTATCCTATGATTTGCAGTTAAATTCTCTTATATTCGTAGTTATGGCTCTATGTCGTCCCTTTACGATAATTTTATATTAGGGTGGTAATATTGAATATAAGAATGGATTGATCAAGGGTGACCAATCAACTTTGTCTGCTTCAGATATTCTTAGGCACAAAATACAATATGAAGAATTTAAAGATTTGATTTATACACATGTTGGAGTTGAAAAGTTTGCCTATAAGTTGAATTTGTCACTATGTTACCAATATGGTGGGATATCTAACATGGCACCCCTCTTAAATGATTCATGCTTAGACATGATGTATTATTTAGCTGAGAATGATAAAAATTATTGTGGCCAAATTTGTGTTGACATAGAACAAAAAACAAAACCTATAAAAACTAGTTTTGTACAACCCCTTCGTAATTGTCGAGCACCATTTTCTTTGTCGAATGATGATAGATGTTAGATGCACATAATTGTTTTGGATCTTGTATTGGCAATGATAACATAAATTTGAACTTTGCAATGATTGCTTCATACATCCTCCACTCAATTGAAAAAGATGTTCCTTATCTGGCGAAACATATACAAACAAATATTAAAACTATTCTGCATGTTGATGTTTCTTATGATAAGGAATGGCATGGTAGGAGAAAAGACATTGAGAAGATTTATGGAACTTGGCAAAGTAACTTTGTTGAGTTACCGAAGTATATTGCAGCTTTACAGTCTTTAAACCCTGATATAGTTGTCATGTAGTTTCAAAAACCAAATAGCACATCACGTGTAGGAATATTCAAATATATATTTTGGGATTTTGGACCAGCCATTACAACATTTCATTTGTTTCAGCTAATTATTTATGTTGATGGTACTCATTTGAAGCGTTCGTACAAAGGAAAAATGCTTGTTGCTGCTGCAAAATATGATAATAATCATATATATACCGGCTGATTATGCTATCATTGATAAGGAGATTGAGCATAGTTGGTGTTGGTTTTTTGATCAGTGTAGACAGTTTGTTGCTCAAAATAGACAATTATGTGTTATTTCAGACAGGCATCAAGGAATAATTCATGCATTGGCGAATTTACCCGAATTGTAACATCCCCTTTTTAGCACGTATGCCAATATTATCCGCTTTAGGCTCCCGGTACGAAAACTTCCCAGAGTGTCACCCATCCCTAAGTTGCTCTCGCCAGGGGACGCTTAGCTGCAGAGTTCTTATGGTGGTTTGCACCTGATTAAACATCGGCTTGGAAGGAGAACGAAACATTTCCTTTTAAGGAGTGTGGATACCTTCCTTGTCACAACGTGTTTTAAAGTCATAAGGCCAACAGATCCCATAAGAACTCTGCAGTTAAATATGCCCGGGCGAGAGCAATCCAGGGATGGGTGACCCCTAGGAAGTTTTCGTGCCGGGAGACCAAAGCAGACAATATTGTGATACATGCCAAAGGGGATTGTTAGAAATGGTATCAGAGCTGGGGTACAGGTCGATGTGTTTGACAGAGACGTCGAAACCTATAATGGGGGTGAAGGTGGGCAGGATAGCTGCACCTAATCCCACATCGGCTTGGAAGGAGAATGAAACATTTCCTTATAAGGGGTGTGGATACCTTCCTTGTCACAATGTGGTTTAAAGCCGTAAGGGAAACTGATCCCATAAGAACTTTGCAATTAAGTGTGCCCGGGCGACAACAATTCAGG